TCGTGGACAATCCACTTAGTCAATGATGTAACTATATTTACATTTTCAAAATGGTCTTTGGGCCATGGATTAACTACACGGGAAGTTTTAGAGACTTTAGCATTTTTCGACTCACCAGGTGATGTTAAAAATTGAGAGTATGACTCAGGAACAAGACGAGCTCGTTTGGGTGTACTGATAAAATTGGTTTTTGATTTTTGGAACAGATATTTCTATTAAGTATATCTATAAAATTCATATATATAATAAGCAAAGGAATAAATTATATAAATTAGGGTTTCACATTTCCCGTAAGTTTTGCATCCCGGGATTCCCCGTGTGAAACTTTGCTATCCCGGGATTTCCCGGAATAAAAATAATATAATAACAAACAATCGGTTTCTGGGGAAATTTTATATTAGCACACTAATTTTAATTATTTATTGAAATATTACCTACCCGGAAACAAATTTTTCCCATAAGTATACCCAATTTTTTGATTTAATTTAAAGCAGTTTTCCAAAGAGAAAAATCTTTACCCATTAATTTTTCTTTACAAAAAATTGCCATCCTTTCACTCCACTCACTATTGACATCGTACAATTATTATGAATCGTAAAATAATCTTCTCTAATTTTGAAAAAAAAAATACTGGTTAAAAAACTTGGTGCTATTTAAGGTAATATATTCATTAAATTATATTTTTTGTTGAACTGGATTAAAAAAAAGGTATGTATACATAAAACTCAATTTAAAAAGAGGAATTAACACATAAAACTTATTTAAAAATAAGTATGAACAAATAAAACTAAGCTAAAAAAAAAGGTATGTACGCATAAAAATCAGCATAAAATACGGTATGGACTCATAAAATTCCGCTAAAAAATATTGGGTACATTACAAAAAATAACTCATTAAAAAAAGCCTTATTATTATTATTGCAAAAAATAAAACCATTTAAAAACCTGAAATGATATTATTGTCGCATGGTTACACACAACTAAATTTGATTTATTAAAATGAATAAAGTGCGTGAAAATTTACCTGTAAAGTTATCTTGCAGAAGATTAATTTAATTTAAATATTTTGTTGATATAATATATAATAAACAGAAAAACATTACTTATTAATTAGAAACAAACTTATAAATAATGTTTCATTACTAGTTTTATAAAATAAAGTGACGGCAATAAATTGTAATAATTACAACAAATTGTGGTTAATTTCGTAGTTTAAAGATAGATAACAATAAATAATTTAACAATTAGGGGAAGTGGGAGCATAACCGCATATGGAGGCACAACCATTTTTCAACACTTCCTTGTGGAAAATGTTATCTAATATGGCAAAAAAAAAAACAGCATGCGTCGGTAAAACAGTTTCCTTCATTTCGCTTAGGGGAAGTGGAGGCATAACAGCCCTCGTAACGTTTAAATTAAAGAAATATGAAAATTAAAACGACATGTGTTTTTTTTTTTAACCATAAAACTTTGCCATAAAAAGTAACGTTTTTAAGTCATAAAAGATTTTAACTTAAAATTTATATAAAAAGAAGTTTATCTTTTTAAAATATAACGAATAATTTAACCGAATATTCTCTAACGATTACTTGCACAGCGATATTTGATAAATGAATAAGGTTTTGTGGTTTATCCTCCGCCAGCTAATTGCCTTGTGGAGGCCACAATACCTCGGTCCGCAGAGACTAGTTTCGGCCCCTAAGGGAGCGTCATAACCCGCTCTACGGACTAAAAGTAAAGTGAGTTTGAGAAGAACGAAGATAACTTAGAATGAAAGGCAGATGTAGTCGTGTTAGAAAGATAGCATAGAGAAAGCGGACAGGGGCCATCCATAAAGGACGTCACCATTTTTTAGCCAATTTTGACCCCCTCCCCCCTTCCTTTGTCACCGGTTGTCCTTTTTCCCTATACCCCCCTTGAAAAGGACGTCATAAAATCCTGACCCCCCCCCCCCCTATTTTTAACTCCAAAAAAATTTATTTCATCTCGCAATGATGTTTGAATCTGCTGCTACACCTTTGAAAAATAAAATTAAAAATATTCTCATACATTATCTTCTTAAAAACACATGTTTACGTAGTTTTCCATGTTAATTAAACTAAAATAAAAAATCTATAAAGTGACGTCCTTTTCTGACAACCTCCCCCTCTCCCCTTGTCCTTTTTTGTCCTTTTTAACTCGACCTCTCCCCCCCTATTTGGATGACGTCCTTTATGGATGGCCCCACAGAATTGCACACGGTGTTAGAAGGTGCAATAGTGCTGTTAGTCGGACTGACAAAGACTTGGAGAGTTCAATTAACATGAGCTCTTCCTCAACTTTCTTTGTCTTCCTCAACTTTTTTTGTTGTTTGATAAACGAACGTCGCACTCTAGTTATAACTATGTTTACTAAAAAAAAAATTTAATTATTTTGAATTAAGAGCTAATTGTTAATACTTTATGTCTAATGGGTATAATTTAATATCCAGAAATATATAAAATGTTGAATACTTTTTGGTTTAGAACCAGTGCACGAGCTTAGAATTTAAAACCGGCGCACGAGTTTAAAAAAATTAAGTGTGGTTTTATTTTCTGCGTGATAAAGAAAATCAACTTTAAAAATGTAAGAAATGCAACAAAGAGATAAAATCAAATGGTGGCAGTACCAGTGGACTGCATACACATCTAAGAACTAACCATGAAATTGACTTGCTGATTGTCATCGGTTTTTGTTTTCATTGGTATTTTCATTGGTCAAAAAATCTTAACCTTTGATCACGGATTCCTTACAAAATTAAAGCGACAATTTGTTGCCTTCAGTTTTTTTCTAGATTGCTCTAGTTCAAAAAGTGTTGACACAGTGTATGCCAAACTGCATTGAAGACATTAAGCTATTATATTATTAGTATTACTTCTAATGGAACTTCCGTAACGCAGAAAGTGGGACGCGTAAGTAATTGTGATCAACAGTTGGCCATTGTGCATGGAGTTTAACTGGGTAATTAAGACGTTTTATTCCAAAAACCGTCATTTTCTGCTCAAAAAAACTTGAAAGTAACCTGCACTTACAACAATAACAGTGAAAGTAACAGGATAAGAAAGGATAGAAGCAGTGACATTCATACAAACAAAACCAATGATGATAAAAAAGACTTTTCAGGAAAGTTTTAATTTGTAATTAATGAGAAGAATGACTCAATTGAATTGACTGATGATTTGCATATTCACTAAGGTGCGCACTGTTGTGAAATTTTTTTTCCGTTCTCCAAAAAAAATGCTGTTGTTTCATGTCTTGCGCCAGTAAAATTTGCTCTGGAAAAAATTGTGCCGAAATGTTGCAACACTATTGTTCGTTACAACACTAATGTTTATAATAACTTTAGAGATATGGATTTAGCTGTTAAGTTGAAGGCTATGTTGATACGACTGTTCAATGAGCAACGCACAACTTTTTCCGGCTACAACTACAATATCTGCATAAAGACCATCAACGTTTTTCATCAACGGATTTGAACCCAGCATTATCTGTTAAGCACCTTAGCAAACCAGCTATTGTAAATAACAATGTTCGATTGAATGATCGGCTCAATCAACGAACATACAATCCTCTCCCTTCTGTCTGCGTTTCTTCTGATGGCAATTCTGTAGACAATACTGTAAACTTGTTATTGAAAGAAAAGCTTGTCATGGCTATTTGAATAATAAGAAATGTAACATTAGGAGAAGATTAAACGTTTTGAATAATTTATTATAAATTATACGCAATGAGATGGCAGCTTTCGAAGAAGTAGGAACTTGTGGCATGTATTTGCAAAATTTCTACTTATACTTAAAAATTGTAAATCCAATAAAAGTCGAATCGCAGCGTGGATTTGTCAGAAAGTGGCAATATTATCACAAAATTACGATCATCTCTAGAGAATGATGGCATATGTTTCATACGGGCATATTTTATTAAGGAGAATAAAGCTAAAAATGAAAACGATTGTAATTTTGATATAATATGAAAAATCGAATCAATGAAACTTTAATTATAACATGAGACTTTATTCACATTATATATAAAAAAAAAAATTTAATACCGGTATGATGCCAGTATTACCGGTAATATACGGGTATTACCGGTATTGAAATTATTCAGTACAGAAATACCGATACTGAAAAATGATATGGATGCGCTTCATGTTGTTTTAACAGTACCAAATGGAAACATTTAGTACCCAATCTTTTTTTAGATTTGCACTTAACGTTATTTTGGTTTTTTAACAAACACGTGGTGAAGCCAGTGCAGTGCATATCAAAAATGTAAAGTGGCTTTTTTTGATAAAAATTTTGTTCATATAAATCAAATGATAAAATAATTTTAATAAGTTTCATTTTATAACTACAAAATTATAACTTCAGTATTATATATATACATATATATATATATATATATATATATATATATATATATATATATATATATATATATATATCTGTGTGTGTGTGTGTATGTGTATGTGTGTGTGTTCTGTAACAACTTTCTAATGAAATAATAATTTATTTAATGGGAATCTTTTTTTCAGATAGAATCATGAATTTAACTGAAGGATTTTATTACAGTCTTTCTTTAATTCAACTAATACAGTCTGACATTTTAAGCTTCTATCATACATCTATTCAACCTGACTGGCAGTTGCAAGGCTGTTGTATGCTTTTTGTTTTTTTGTTTATACTCATAGGTATTATTAAATTAGAATGGGAGTGGTATGGATCAACTATAATAAATCCCAATTCCTTTGGCACATCAAAAAATAATTACATTGACGAGCAAGATGGTGAATTTGAAGCGTATCCTGATGAAGATCCTTTAACATTTCTGAAGAAAACAAAATAATTACTTTGTAGCTTAAAATTAAATTTTAAAATTTTATATTTGTTGTTATTTACTTTTAAGTTTCATTTTTGCTATTAAAAAAGTTATAATAAAAAGAATGACAAAAGTAAAACTGTAATCTTTTTTTAATTAATTAAAAAAAAAAAGAATATAAAAAATGGTTTGGTCAAGAAGTTTAGTAAGCATTTCTCAGAAGATAGTATCAACTTTACATTGTTCTCATGGATTGCTTAGAAGTTCAAAGATTGGATCTTCACTTCACTCAAAATCCTTATTATTAACAAATAAACCAATGATAAAACCATTTTTATTTAGAACATTTGCCACAAAACAAACAGAAGGTAAGTCAAATTAATTTTTTTAGTTTTTTTTTTTTTTTTTTTGTACTTATTTTTTAAAAAAATATTTTTTAAAATCATTTAGCAGTTTTTCTCTCTAAAAATAATAGATCTATTAGATTTCGCTTTATCATAGTCTATTAGCAATAGTTGAACTTGTTTCTTCATGCAGCGCCCTTGTTTGTCAAGATTTTTTTTTTGGAGTTAAGAGAGAGTTGACCATAATTAAAGTAGTCTATTTTACTGTAGTGGCCTTCTCGGCCTTGGGGAGGTGAACTGAAATTTTAAAAAGCTATCTTTTAATAATCAACTATAAAAATGGACAATTCTTTTGCAAAAAAATTGCAAATAAAAGAGTAGATGATTTTTAAAAATTTACTTTTATGTCCTTTAATTTGTCCTCTTTTTTTTTATTTAATTATTTGACTTGACATAAGTGACTTTTTTACTTTTTTTAAATCTTTAATTATAACATGTTTAGAAAAGTGTTATTATTTTAGGAGATAGAGACCTTGTAAACTTCCTTAAAGAGGAGATATCTTATGAACAAGATAATTTGTCCGAATTGCCAAAATTTAAAGACTTTAAGGTAAGCATATATATATATATATATATATATATATATATATATATATATATATATATATATATATATATATATATATATATAATGGTTTTTAATGGTTTAATTTTTATATTAGTATTTTATGTCTTTATTTAAAAATTGTCTATTGCATAATTTTACTTTATGTTGGTGTGTCCCCTAGTTTTTCCAATTTTAATAGAATTAATCAACAACTAAAAAGTACATTTTTTTACAGTTACAAAAATTTATTATTCTTAAATGATTTTTTCGCTAACCTGAACCATGGGCCTTTGTGTACTTATTGTAATGAGCTCTTAAAAAGCGATGTTTTCACTGCTTTTAGAATGTTTTTACCTAGATTTCGTGATTCATTATTTGATTGGCACAACAACTTTCTTTTCAAAGTGCAGTTTTTATTTTTACAAGATAAATTTATTTATAATAATAAGTAATTTAAAAAAAAATATATTTCATTAAATTTAAAGTGTATTAAAAACTGTTTTGTTATTTAAAATATATTTTTTATTATTTGTGAATTTTTTTTTTTTTTATTTTAAAAATTTCTTGACTGATAAATAATCTTTTTATAGGTTCAAATTTCAGGAACAGAAGTAAAACTATTCAGAAATCTAAATAATGAAAAGTAAGTAATTATATTTTGAATTTTTTGTTCAAACATCTTCTGAATTTTGTTCTAAAAAGCAAAATATTTTAAGAATTTTCACCAAAAATTCAATTCTAGGCCTTAATTTAATTTTCCTTTCTAAAAGTTAAAAAAAAGAAAAAGATTCATTTTTTGCCAAAGGTTGAATGATTAACATGATAAAGTAAATATTGTAAAGAGAACAAATAAGTTTATCCTTTTTATATTAAAAGGTTTATATATAAAGTTTTTTGTTTGTTTGTTTGTTTTTGTTTTTTTGTTGTTGTTTTTTGTTATTCACCTCCTCAAGGCTAAGAAGGCCACTAATAGTGGTTATAACCCTCTCTCAACTCTATAACTCCGAAACACGAACCTTGACAAGCAAGGCCGCTGCGCAGAGAAACAAGTTGAGTGCGGTACTACCAGGGACGTGGTGGGGATCAAACTCGAAACCTCTCGCTTATGAAGCGAGTGTTTTACAACTACACCACTACCGCATTTGTATATATCGGGAAAAGGTACAGGACTTTAGAGCTGAGGTCAAAAAATTGGCTCCAGTTCCAAGCTCTGGCTCCATCAAAATTTTTACCTCTAGTTCTGGCTCCAGATTGGCTCTAGAATAAACAAATTAAAAAGATAAATTATTTTATAAAAATCAGGTTTTGTTGATTATATCAAGATTGCTTGATATAAAGTCAAGTGCAGAAAATAGCTTCTCTACATTTGGTTGTGAGAAAGCCATAAAAGTTATTACTCTGCACACAAACTGTATTCTTTTTGGGTATTCCTCAATTTCCTCAAAAACTGATTTCACTTTTCTTTTCTTTATGTCATGACAGTTGTTGTGACAGGTTGTGACAGTCATCCATGAAATTTCTATTAAAAGTGTTTTTATTTTAAAAGTTATTATTGGTCACAATAATAATTTTTTTATCAAGCTCTTTTTTTAAACTTGTCTAATTCTTCATCAGAATTAGATTTAACTAAAACTGAATGAAGTGTTGTAGATGATTCAGCTGTTTTTCTTATTTCTTGACTTACTTTTATATTTTTGGCATCAATTTATTTTCTGCTATCGATTTTAAGGCTTGTTTTGCTCATATATCTGATTCTCTTCTAACAATATTCTACAACTTACACCCCTCATGGAAAACTAAGGTTAGATTTTCTTTTCCCAAACTGCTGTACTTTTTTTCTCATTCGTATCCTGTCATAAATGCTCCATGTGTTCTTTATCCTATATAGCTTCATCTAGAGAATTTTCATCTGAATTTTTATTTAAAAGTGTGATTGTCTCTAATGTTTTAAAGTAACTTTTCAAGTATTGTATGCAGCAGCATAAACGTCATGACAAAAAACAATTTGATCAAATTTAAGTTAAAAAAAAATGCTAGTGCTTTTTTGAGTGTATATCAAAACAACTTTTTATACAGCAGCTCAAGTATAATTTATAAAATATTAAATTTACATAAAATACCAATATCAAAGTATCAAATGCTTTATCTAAAAATCATAAAACTTATAATTTAAACATTAAATTACATTATTTACAGTTTAATTTAAAAAAAATTCATAAAAAAAATAAAATCATAGTACTTATGTATTCTTTTAACAAAAAATACTCATACTTTGATCTTCCAAATTATCAAAGAAAGGAGCTAACTTGGAGCCAGCTCCACCTAGAAATATTTCAACTTCAGCTCTGTCTCAGCTCCTTGTAAAAACACCAGCTGCAGATCAGTTCCAAAGCCCTGAAAAGGTGTGCATTTATTATTTATTACAAAGAAAACTGTGAGTGACAAGAAGTTGATTAATAAAAAAGCATAAACAAAAGTATTCTAAAATTAACTTTTGCAGATCTGAGTTTCAGACAAAATTATCATTTTACAAAATGTTCTGATATTTTACAAAAACAAAATGTCAGCTCAGATCAGTTTTTGGTTATAAAAAAAGTTATTTGTTCATTAAGTATTTATTGTAATAGTTTTACATATTTAGACCTGAAATTTCTTTTTCCAATCAATGATATTCTAATATATTTTATTATATTTTTCTAGAATTGAGGTTGAGTTTGATATCAATGAAAATGTAAATATTGATGAAGGTATTTTAAAAGAAGATGGAGATGAAAGTGAAGAAAATTCTGAAGATCATGAAGTGAGAAAAGAGAAAATATATGCATTATTTACAAACAAATAAGTATTTTAACGTATATAGTTAGTTAAAGTTAAAAATACACGTAGATACGTGTAACTGTCTAGTAGATGCATGCAGTAAAATTGTGACTTGTATTGTCCATAAAATTCTTAATCAAAACATAAATAGAATATATATATATATATATATATATATATATATATATATATATATATATATATGTATGTATGTGTGTGTGTATATATATATATATATATATATATATATATATATATATATATATATATATATATATATATATATATATATATGTATGTATATATATATATATAAAGAGAGTATATTTACATTTCTTCCCTGGTTAAGGAGTTAGTAGATATGCCACTTTAAAATGCCAGAACTTGTTTTGATGGAATGTTGTTTCACATTTAAAAGAACTTTACAAGTTAAGCGTAAAATGTCTCATCTATCTTAATGCAATTTAACATAATTTATATACAAACTAATTCTCTTGATGTTTACAATTATGTCTTTATATTATATACAAATATGTCTATATATATATATATATATATATATATATATATATATATATATATATATATATATATATATATATATATATATATATATATATATATATATACAATTATTTTTAAGTAACACTATTAGGTCATTAGCTTTAAAACAAGCATTAGCTATATTTACACTTTACACTTCCTCTTGGTCTTTTTCCACTTTGTTTCGAGGACTAAAATGCTCAGGGGCCCTCTATTCCTGTGTGTTTCTTCGTAACATTGACATTTTATTTGCTTTATCTATGGACTGCACAATGCGTAGTTCTTCGTTGTCTTCTGGATCCTCATTGAAATCATTGTCACCTCAAACTTGTCTAAGATCTTCATTCAAATCGTTGTCAACTCTTACTTGTCCTAAGTCTTGTACATGTTGACACATTTTGTCCAATTTTACTATTTTTTCAGATATTTCAAGTTTATTGGTTATGTTCTTATAAGGATCGTGTGCTTTCTTATTGTTGTCAATTTCTCTTACTCTAATTTCGTATTAATATAACTTATTTGCTGGTGCAGTAGAAGACTTACAACTATCTTTTGGAATGTTATACCAATAAACTGCCTCCAGTAAGCTGCACGGAACTATCTTCGCTGTACTTTTAACAGTTCGATGACATCATTCTGTAAGTCCATTTCCAGAAGGTACATAATTCTTTAATAACACATGCACTGGTTCGATCTTCAAGATATGGCCACATTGCATACCGTGTAGGTCCACAGTCGATTAGAGTAAGATAGTGCTGCTCCTAATAAGTTATATCCATGCCAAGTCATTACTTTGCTTACTGACGGGTCGATTTTATGAGCAAAGTACTATGTTTTCTTCATAATGTCCTGTAGATTAATGAACATGCTCAATTTCTTAGGAAGATAACGAAGTTCTAATAATGTCACTTGCTGTTATTTAAGAGGGTTTAACAACCATTTTTAACCAACTATTAGGCACTCTAGTTAGAGCTTTGGCCAAGTTTAAATCCAAAGCGACAAGCTTAACATCTTAACATCAGCTCTAAAGTCCTGTACCTTTTCCCGATATATACAAATGCGGTAGTGGTGTAGTGGTAAAACACTCGCTTCATAAGCGAGAGGTTCCGAGTTTGATCCCCACCACGTCCCTGGTAGTACCGCGCTTAACTTGTTTCTCTGCGCAGCGGCCTTGCTCGTCAAGGTCCTTGTTTCAGAGTTATAGAGTTGAGAGAGGGTTATAACCACTATTAAGTAGCCTCCTTGTCTGTAGTGGCCTTCTCGGCCTTGCGGAGGTGAATAACAAAAAAAAAAAAAAAAAAAAAAATTACTGCATCAAGTTCGGACATGTTTATATTTGTTGTGTCATCTTTTCTTAACCAACAAGCGTCTTTGATTATATTGCCATCAACCTTTTCAATCACGCCTAGTGCTATTAAACTAGTATCTACCCAAATTGTTGCTTCGTTACTAAAAACACTCCGAATTCCCTTTGCAGGATTGTCACTCAATGTTTTTTAACCATATCATTCAGCATTTTTCCAGATAATTACATTTTATTTTTTTCATCCCACGTTTTTGTCAGGGTGTTTGCTGTTCTTTTAACATACCACAATTCTTTACACAACCAAGTACAAACTGGAAGATTCCCTGTCATTTTTCTGCACAAAGAAAATGTTGCGTCTTATTAGTGAATTTGGAATTTTACCAAAATCATTCTTCAATACAACTTTTTATTTTAACCATTCTAACCTGTAAACCCAACTCTTGCTCCTTTAATTATGCGGACTACTGGATTACAATGTAGCCCATACATATCCAAATGATTAAGTACGCAACAAACAGGTATTATGTTTTCTTTCACAAAAATATCATCAATGTTTGATGACCTTCCTTCCCAGATCATTTCGTCTTGCGATAGCACTTTGTCCAACACAGCTTTTATTATGACTGGCGCAATGTTCAGTCAGAATCCCTGGTCGTACTTTTCCTTTATTTTGCTGCACCACTGCCATGAATCGTACTTTTGTAGCCATTTTTTCTCTATCCACCTTTCAAATTTTTTTTCGCAATCGTGTTTTTTTGCCAACGGGGATAGTATATTCAACAATCTTATTCACTAGAGTTTCAGGTTAAGAAGTATTATTCCATTTCCACGCAATTATCCATTCTCGCTGTTAATGTCCAAGCGTGTAGTAGGTAAGCTTTAAAACAATCATTAAGTAACTTTAATCATAAACAATATAACTATGTATACACTTTACATGGATTTTGAACTTTATTGATAAATTTTGATTTAATTTAAGTATACAACAAAAAAATATTTAAAAGTATTCTCCTCACAGCCGTCAAACCTGGGGTCTTGGGGTGGTGATAAACATTAATGTCATTTCATTTCCAATCTCTAATTATTTTTCTTTATAAAATCTTTAATTGAAACAAGTATATACAGTTTCTACTTTGGCACATGCCACAAGTCTTAGGTGTCAAAAAAATCCATCCCCATATTTTTATCCAAGAATTCTTGGATAAAATGAATGCTTGATTGCAATTTATTGAAACTTTATGTTTTAATTCTAAAAAGCAAGTAATCAACAGTTGTATAGTATATTTTTGGTAATGCTATTTGTTTAAAATTCTTTTAATATTTAGGCTCGATTATAAAATATAACATTTAGTTAACTCATTTAGTAAATAGTTTTAAAAAAAGTGTTTTGATAATCCAAATAAAATAAAACCTAATATTCCATATGTAAAAATATTTATTTTTATTTTAACTATAGTTTTGAACATGAGTTCATGAAAATAATTGTTCAGTCGTTTACCATCCGGAAAGAAGGGAATCAAATCTCAACTTTATTTATGGTTACTTGCAGCTTTCTCAAAATGAGCGCATCTTTTTTTTTTTTTTTTTTATAAAAAACATTTAAAGTCAAATTTTTTTTCAAAAGTTTTAAATGATTATGTTTTCAAATTATTATTCTCCTTATTTATGCATATATATTGTCAGGTTTGCTTTTAGAACAGTTTTTTGTAATTCGATAAAAAGAATTCCAATTGAGTTGATAAAAATTATTTTAAAATATTTTCATTACATCCATTTAACTGCTGTTAAAATTTATAGCAGTGAAGAAATATACAGCATTGATTAATAGTAGTTTTTAATAAAGAATTGTTTTTATTTAGATAACATCATATCCATCATTTTCTGTAAAAATTACCAAACCATCTGGTAAAGTATTACATTTTAATTGTGTTTATAATACAAACCATAATGAAGAATTAGATGTGGAAAGTGAAGAAGATGAGCAATTTGAATTGTTTCGCTTTGAAAATGTCAAAGTATACACAGACAGCGAAAAAAATGTGTATGAAGCAGAAACAGAAACAATGGATGGGGTAATTATTTAAATACTAGTGTTTTGCTATAAATTATGTCTGTCTATTAATTTCATATTATAATGTCTGTCTATTAATTTCAATGTCATCAGCTCATGATGTAACTTTCCATTATGTTGCCACACTCCACATTATGTTGCCACACTCCACATTTGAAAACAAAAATTTCAGTCATTGATAAATTTTAAAAAGTTTAAAGTTTTCTAAATATGTTTACTTTAGAATGCCAAACAGTGAGTATTGTATAAATGTGTGTGCTTTTTTATGTAATTTTTCTTTTTTGGCAATTGTTTAAAAGGTTGTATAATAAGTTTTTACTGTCATTAAAACAGAAAGAATTGAAAAAAACTTATATTTTAATACTGTTATTAAAATATAGCTATAACAAAACCTATAGCACAGCCAAACCAGCTTTATGATTTCTTTTTAAATAACGAGCAGAGCATGACAAATCAATAAATATGTAAACCTTTGTTTAAAAAAAAGACAGAAAAATGAACGTCTCGTTTCTTCACTTTTATGCAAATGTTGGTGTTGTTTAAAAAATGAGCACATTACTTTGGCAATTTTTTTCAAAATATTTATGCAATTGGTAGTTTTTTATTAGTAATAAATTATTATAATAATTTATTATATAATTATTATATTATTTATAGTAAAAACAATTATTTACTAAACTTAAAATACATTTTAAAGGCTTTAAAAGAAACCAAGCTAAAACATGATTACTTAGCGTTTCTTTTAAGTAAAGTTTAGTTAAGTTTATTCAGTAATCAAATTTTACAAAAATGTTGTAAAGTTTGACAGACCTCGGTGCCAGGCCTTGCTATGCTGACGAGTTTTGTACATATATTATTTGCGAGTTTTATGATATTGCAACTGTGACTTGAAAATATTGACAGATTTTGAGTTGATGGCATTGCTGGATAGTGCATTCCATGGTGCACAAACGCAATTTGTAAAATGTTGAGTCTCTATACAGTTTTTGATTTGTTGCAGTTGAAGCATAAACTTGTGGTTACATCTTAGGTCATATGACATTGATTTGGAAAAGAGGTAATGTTGTGGTACATAGAAGTCTACTTGTTTAAGGTTTTTATTAATTTTTAATTGTTCTATGAGATCCCCTCTTTTCTTTCTCCTGAGATCATATCTCTTCTAGTGTTGTAAGTCCTAGTGCTTCTAATCTTTTTTCATAAGTATGGTGGCTCAAAGTGTTTATTAATTTTGTTGCACAATATTTAATTTGCTCTAATTTTTTGATATCGCCTCTAAGGTGTGGTGATCAGGCTTAGATAGAAAACTTTAGAGAGGTCAAATGTATAAAGTGAATATTATACACCAGAGGAATACACCGCGTCCTTTGAATGCTTTTTTTAGCACGTCTAATTTCCAGTTTGCTTTTGCTGCTGCTACCTCTACATATGATTTTAATTTCAAATCATCAGACACAAAAATACCAAGATCACACTCGACTGTGGTACATATGAATGGATAACGAACTCCATCTTGGCTTAACATTGTAGTTGTGTGTTAATTCATTTTTTTTTTTTTTTTTTTTTTGCGATCAACGTGCATAACCTTACACTTAAGATTAAAAGGCATTCACCAATTTCTAGTCCATTCATCAGCTTTGTCAATATCATTTTGCAAGGATATCACATCAGTGGGTGTTTTTACAACTGTTGTCTGCATAAAGTTTTATATAGTTGGAAATGTTGTCTGTTAAATCGAATATGTATATCACAAAAAGGGTCTAAAGTTCACAATCGATAGTAATTATGTTTTCACATGGTTTTTGCATGCACTAGCAAAAGCATGGAAAATTTTACTTTAAATAAATGCATTTGCAATTACTTTGAAAGAAACCATACTCAAATGTTTATGATTGCTTTCTTCATAGTTCGTTTGTTTGTTTGTTTTTTAATTTTCTTATTTTCCTTAAAGTTAAGTTATGTTTGTTTGCATATTAAAAACACTTTAAAAGTTTTAAAAATGATTTTTAAATTTTGCCAAAGTATATATCTAATAAAGTATATAGAATTATATTTATTATAGTTTTCATTTTTTTATTTTTCGTTTAACACCTCCATTGATATGGTATTTTTATTAACTTATTAAATAAAATAAAAGTAAAATATTATTTTTAAAAATATTATTTTTAAAAGTTTTAAAAAAGAAATGCCAAAACAACTTTTATTTTATTCTCAGTTCCTTTTAATTTAATTCTTTCAAGTTGAGTAAATAAATTTAACTAACTTAATTAAGAAAAATTCAATATTTAGAATTACAGTTTACAATCATTAGGTCATTGGTTTTTACTAATTTGTGCACACTTTGCAAATGCGTAAAAAATTGTTTTGAAAATATAAATTTATTAGGTTCAATAATCATCTTTGGTATATCTAATAACTTATTAACTAGAATAAAAGTTATTTGAAAATAAAACTCCCTTATTTGGCATATATCTCTCTTAAATTAGGTGTTCGCCAAAAAATACAGATAAAAACGTCAACGTTCGTTTAAAAAACGATTTTTCGCGCCCTGACAAATACCAACTTTAAGACTCTTTTATAATCTATTTTATTATATTATATTTATTATCCTTTTTATTATATTTAAAAAATAACCATGTTCTGTCATTTGTTTAAAAGTTGGATACCACAATAGTGTGATGTGTAGTGATGAGAGTAATCTTTTTGCACATGCAGAACATTTGTTTGTCAACCTCATATTCTATAAAACTTTAAAAAAAAAAAGATAAATAGTAATAATTTAAAAATTTATTAAAAAGTAAATATTAAAAAATATAAAACATCTTCAAATAAAATTTTTTTTGAAAAATTGAATGTAACTACGCCACTACCTTACTTGTTTGAAAATTTAAAGTATAAAAACATTTTTCAGTGTCAAAATGATTTGAAAATATTTGAATATAATTGAAATATTGGAATATAATTGAAATATTGAATTTCAAAACATTTAAGATACTTTTAGTTACTCAAAATGCATTTACAACTCTCGAAATTAGGAATAATGAGGCCGACAAATTATTGCTGACCTTAATTTGTCATTTTGACATCAATTTGAGGTCAGCATCAGGTCGGCAAAAAAATTTGATACAAAGGTTTTACCATAGAACATAAAAACATGGTCAGCAATTTTTTGACAACCTCAAACACTTCTAGATTGGCATTGCCGAATGCTGACCCTAGTTCTGAGGGCTGCATTATATTTCTGGATATTTTTTAAAAATATTTGACTATAATATATTATGTTTTACCCGAACAACTTTCCGGATTTTAAAAATATGATCTGGATGATCAATGATATATATTTCTACCATTTTGTCTCGCTTCGTACAGTACCGTTTTGAGACTCGTATAAATTTTATCAAATTTTGCTTAACTGTCGTGTATGTGTGTGTGCGTGTTTGTATATACATATATGTATGTGTATATATATGTATGTGTATGTGTGTATATGTATGTATGTATATATATATATATATATGCACAAAGTGCAAATATATATATAAGTGCATATATCTCTCTCTCTATATATATATATATATATATATATATATATATATATATATATATATATATATATATATATATATATATATATATATATATATATATATATATATATATATATATAGAGAGAGAGAGAGAGAGAGAGAGGTATTGTTGATTATTTTAAAACGAATATTTATAAATCAAAAAATTTGATTCATAACTTTTAATTTTTAGGATTTATATAGCATGCTAATGACGACATTACTTGAACGAGGAGTCGACGGTGTTTTTGTTAACAGCCTTCTTGATCTAAGTACTACGCTTGAACACAAACAATATATATCATTTTTGCAGAGTTTACAAGACTTTGCTGCTGGAAAGTAAATTATAAATCTGTAACGCGTCAGTTTTGTATAAAAATATATTCTTAATTTGTTAGTGTTTAATTCAAGAAGTTTTCCAAAAAAAAAAAGAGTAAAAATAAAAAAAAATTTACTCTCATATAAAAAATAAAATCTAATTTGAACTAAGCACTTCAATGGCAACTCTTTTTTTGTATATTTTATATATTATATATTTAATAAGATTGCGTCATTTAAAATAAGCCAAGTTTAATTCCCAGCGGAGCGTATTATTTTTCATAAAGTAAAAGTTTACAAGATAAAAAAAGAATTTTTATCTTGTAAATTTTAACTTTATGAAAACTTTTTATATAAAGCTAAATAAAATGCAATATTTAAAGCTTTACAGACTTTGTCTGTAAAGCCTTAAAAATTGCATTGTATTTAGCTTTTAGATCTTTAATAATAAGAAGCAATTAGCTAAATCAAAATGTAATGCTATTGCACGAAGTATGTTCTAAACATCGGTCTAAAAAAATAACTATTTATAGAAGAAAAACCCTCTTTTTTGAAGTCTATTATTCACTTAATTGAGCCCAACTTTACACCAACAGCGCCACTATGTATAAAGATTTAGCAACGTTAAGTGCAAGAAAATGTGAAAGCTGCTATTATTGATAATCGACTGATTATTAATAATATTTATAAATATATAATAAACAGTACTTTTAGGTATTCTTAATTTGAATAAATGAGTTAAATAATCTGTTAAGTTAAACCCAAATTATGATCACTCTCGTACTAGTAGCATGTAATTGAGTACAACCTGACCTATGTACTGCTGCCTTGCCCTGCATTCTTTTGTTTAACATAATACTTGGAGAATCCCGATCTGAGTTAAATTACCCATGCATCGGGGCTCTCGGTTGACTAGAGACGGTGTCTCGATAAAAATAGTCATCTTGTGCATATTAGCTGCATCCGGCTACTGTCTTGTAGAAAACCTCCTAGGAAAGTCTTTAAGGGTAAACAAAAGTTATCCATTGGTTAACCTCATTATCGATTGCGATGGCCTAATTGTAAACCTGAGTTACATTGTTTCCCGATGATGAACGCTCAATCTTCTTACTCTACTCTTGGGTTTGTGCTTGTGCCCCCTTGATAGTAACTATACAACTATTTTATATCATAATTTTAATAGAATTTATAAGCTCTTTAAAGGTTGGAAAATTTTGCTAACTGTAACTTTTGGCTCTGATAACCGTCTAAAAAAGGATTACGACCCCTTTTTTATATTCTCAGTAACTTACCGAGGGCCACATTTGTGGAACTCATTTCTCCCAAATAATAGTAAAACTACAACTTCAATCCAAGCTTTTAAAAGTATCTTAAAAAAACAGTTACTTGATTATGACGTATCTCAAATACTATTTTATTTTTAATTTTTATTTTGTTCTCTTTTATTTTTTACTTTAATTTTTCTTTTTGTTAAAAAGCGGCATCACACTTTATATCATTACTTATCTTTATATTTGTATTGTATTGTATATATATGTATTTGTGTGTGTGTATATATATATATATATATATATATATATATATATATATATATATATATATATATATATATATATATATATATATATATATATATATATATATGTATTTTCTTATATGATGGATAATTTTTTCTTTGTTTAATATGTAAATGATACAAGGGGGCTGGATGATAAGACTTTTGTCTTCTGCCTACTCCTGTCATATCTTAACTCAAAATGAATATTTTGTAAATAATTTGTTATAACGATGACGAAAATGTATAAAAAAAACAACTAAAAAACAATTGAGAAGCATTTGGCATCTCAATGGAAAGATCTAAAGGCTAAGATATTCATCAGTGTCGTTTCGTAAGTTTAAGTCCTCTTCTTCGCATATGAAATTTTTAAAATTTCATAGCGCAGTGGATTGAGCGCTTGCTTTAGAAGCAACAAATCCAGGGTTCGAAATGAGCTCTGGGTACATTTTCGCGCCGATAGTAAATGAACTTTCTAGTTTTTCGGTTTACATTTGTTAATCGTTGCTTTCCAGTTACTATTATACACTTTGCCTTTCAAAATAGCCCAAAAGTCTTTGATTGTGCGACACTGCGGTACGGGTGGCAAATTGTCAAATTTTTTGACAAAATTGATTTTGTGAGTCTCATAGCAGTTGGTCACGGTTTTGGCATAATGCGATGAGGCCAAAATACATAATTATCATCGGGATGATGAGTATTGATAAACGGCACTAATTTTCTCTTAATAAAATCGATTTTGGCCACACGACCACTTCCTTGCACTCTTTTGCGTCCAAAATTATTCTCAGCACGTTTGATTATATCATAGATAGTGCTTCTTGGAATTTGTTCAGCATTGAAGTGATTTGCTGAGAACTTTTCACCTTGTAATTTATTATTCAAATAGAACGCGTAAATCCGTTTTCTTATCTTTTCTTGCTTGGACATCATTATTATCTTAATTTTTATTAATTACCTAAAAACAAGTAAGCTAAGAAATGGAGAATTAAATAAGCTTTAAAATGGATATAAGAATGAAAAAAAAAAGTTTAGCTTATGGCATTTAAAAAACAGTGCAGCCGTGTGCGCAGTTATTAGAGCGCTTGCTTTATAAGCAGGAGATCCAGGTTAAAAACGAGCCTTGGACATATTTTCGGTAAGGAAGGAGGCGTGAACTTCCTGGTTAAATGCACTTCCGCGGTGCTCTGTGACAAGACCGTTATGTCTTCTTTGGGCACCTAAATAACAATAATAAAAAAAAGTTAAAGTTAGTCCGGATTTTTAGTAACCACTCGTTATTCCAAAGGTGAGGTGCTCGATATGTAATACAAAGTTGATTAAAGTTTGTTTGACAAAAAGGTTCATTTAAAAAGTTATTATTTCTCAAAATAATAGCTTTCTAGTTAAAATCTCTTCTGCGGTGCTCTCTGACAAGATACATATATATATATATATATATATATATATATATATATATATATATATATATATATATATATATATATATATATATATATATATATATATATATATATATATATATATATATATATATATATATATATATATAAAGAGAGAGAGAGAGAGAAAATTACTAAATAAATTGTAAGTACGTGTGTTTCCTTTTCAAAAAAATATCCAAAGTATGAGGAATGTGAATGCGTCTTTATAACGTAATGCTATCAAACTTCTTTTTTTTTTTTTTTTTTTTTTTGGTGCAACTTGAGAGAAATATCGAGTATGAAACTTGCCGTTGTTTTCTACCTAATCTGGAAATCCTAAAATAAATATACATTTAATCAAACCTTCGTTAACGAGAGAAGATATTAATTTTTGAAGACTACTAAGCTTTTCTAAGTCATTACTCCATAAGTCTGGTTTTCTCTCGGGCAACATCAACAGTCTTGTTTTCTCCTAGACAATTTACAAACTTTCTATAAGCTGTTAATGGTTAAGCATATTCGCTCAAGCCTTAAAAAACGGTCTCTCCATACAAAAACAGTGCAGGGCTGTGGGGTTGGAGTCGTAGTCGGAGTCGTTAAAAAATTGTGACTCCAATTCCAATAGTAAAACTTCTCGTTATTGGACGTGCATGTACAAAATGTTTAACCTTTAAAGAATTTTTCATATATTTGAAAAAAAAAATTTTCAAATACCCCGTTATATTTTTTAAAGAATTCAAAGAAGTTTTTCAAAAATTTTGCTTTGGAGTTAGAGTCGGAGTTGTACACTGAAAATTTCAACGATTGGAGTCGGAGTCGGAGTTGGTACTTTTTTTTACGACTCCATACCCCTGTATGAAAATCATCCTCTTTTTGAAGTTTTGTCACAAATTCCGATTTCTGAATTTAAACAAACTTGACAAATTTGACAAAAAAAACTCCATTTTCTTATCATTATTCTGATTTTAGTATTATTTTTCAGCCGATCTGATGCGATGCTAAGGATTTCAATGAACTTCGTGATATTTTGGGTAACAATGTTCACAGAGTTTAGTAATGCAATATTGTTTCTCTTGATTTGTGGTCATTTAGGATGATTTTTAACACCAACATTTTGATTGCCTGAACCATTTTAGCCTTGTTAGTTGCACATATTCGTTCATCAAAAAAAAAAAAAGTAATTAGTTCTTCAACCATATATGACAATAAAATGCCTTCATTGCCACATTTGCAACTGTTGCATTGAATAATTTATACAACTCTAACCTTTCAAAGCACTTAAGATTATTAAGTGGAGCTTGAAAGATTAAGATCATTAAGTGGAACCATGATTGGATATACACAAAACAGATAAATATCTTAAACATACAAACTACATTTGTCTCACGATCAGTCATTCAAAATTAAGACCAGAAGTAAAAAATCTTCAATGAATAGATATTTTTGGCCATCTATCAGGCACATTTCATTGCTTTAGGTGCTACCAGATGGATGCCTCAAGGTGGGATTTGTTCCATATAGATTAGTTGTAATTTAAGGAGTTCTCTATAATCATCACGAGGCTGACTCTTGTTCTGCAAATGTGACACAGCAAGTTCCACATTTCATCATGTGTTTTTTTTCATCATCACTTTGTTATTGTTAAAAAGTGTCATTTTTTATTATCTGACATACCATCCGCAATTCTGTCATAAACCAGCAACTGCCATATTCTATGGAATCTTTTAAACAAAAAAAATATCAGGTTTAGCAGATGGTCTTGAACAGTCTATAATTTTCTTATAACTACAAATACTGAGTTAGCTAAATACAAACGGTTATAAATGCATTAAAAAAACTGACGTTAATTTACAGCTCACAAGAAGTTTTACCATTAACGTTGGATTGCTTTTCTTTCTTGTTTAATTAAAAAAATATATAAACTTTTTTTTAGTTGCTTAAAACTCTTCCTACTTTTATGTAATGATCTTAAAGTTTTGCTCTGACATGATATTTAGTTGTATAAAAACTCGAAAATGCACTTCTAGGAGCTAAGAAAATGGAAGTCTATAGCATTTGCAAAATAAACTAAATAAACTTAACACTAAATTTTT